TTTTCCCGTTATTTGCATTTTTCTCCCTCCCAGCTCGAAGGGAAGATTCCCGAGGTCGCTTTTCTCAAGTGAACGTTGGAGATCCCCGCCCCCTCCCCGGGCCCCGCTCCCGTGTTCGAGTCCTTTCGATCCCCCCGAGTTTTGTAAATAAACTGATCGATTATTGATTATTGAGGAGTGATTAATTACCGATTATTAATTATTGCCTGCGGCGCCTTTAAGGGGGGGGGCGGTGAGGGCAGGGCGGAACGTGCCAGCAACAAAGATGGCGGCGGGGGCGGATCCTGATTGGTTGATGCCGAATTAGCGCCACAGCCGATTGGCTGGCCCGCTACGTGCAATCCGATTGGCTGCGGGGTCGTTTCTCTCCTCACCCGATTGGCTGATGCGCTGCGTGACCCGGAAGTACCGGCGGCGCTGCCCGGCATGGCGGCGCGGGCGGCGCTGGACGCGGCGGTGGCGGCGGCGTCGCGGGACGTGGTTCTGTACGAGCACGACCGCAGCCGCTTCTTCCGCCTCGTGGGGCTCTTCTGCGCGGGGCAGGGCCTCCTCTGGGCCTACCTGGCGCGCTTCGCCTTCACCGCGCTGCGCCCCGTGCCCGCTCCCGGTGCCGGCACCGATGACCCGCTGCGGCCCCGCGACAACAAGTGGCGCTTTGGCTTCACGGCGTCCTGCCTCACCGTCGGTACCGAGCGAGCGGGGCCGGGAGCGGGGGGAACCGGGAGAGGGAGCGGGGACGGAGCGGGGCACGGGAAGGGCACCGGGGCCCGCAGGGCTGAGAGCGCGGCGGGGGAACCGGGACCGGGCCGGGGTTCGGGGGACGGCACCGGGGCCACATCGGGGTCAGGGGAGCGGCACCGGAGCTGATCCGGGCTTAGGGGAAGGGACCGGGGCTTCCATTGGGGTCACACCGGGGTCAAACCGGGCTCAGGAGAGGGCACCGGGGCCGGACCGGGGTGAAGGGAGGGGACCGGGACTCACACCGGGCACCGGGGGCTCATTCCGGGGCTCAGGGAAGGAGACCGGGGTTTCCATTGGTGTCACACCGAGATCAAACCGGGTACCGGGCTCCCACCGGGGCTCGGGGGCTCACACGGGGGCCGGACCGGGCTGAAGGGAGGAGACCGGGAGCTCCCACCGGGGTCAAACAGGGCACCGGGGGCTCAGGGAAGAGGACCGGGGCTTCCATTGGGGTCAAACCGGGCACCGGGGGCTCTCACCGGGGTCCATGGGAGGGAACCGGGGGCTCCCACCGGGGCTCGGGGGCTTCCACCGGGGCTCGGGGGGGCACACCGGGGAACGGGGGGACACCAGGGCTCGGCGGGGGCGACCGGGAGCTCCCACCGGGGTCAAACCGGGCACCGGGGGCTCACACCGGGGTCCATGGGAGGGCACGGGGGGCTCCCGCCGGGGCTCGGGGGGGCACACCGAGGCTCCCCCCGGGGCTCCCCGGTGCCGGGCCGCTCCCGACTCGCCGTTCCCGGCGTTGCCGGTGTCGCAGGCTCGCTGACGGTGGCGGCGGGCTGGCTGCTGCCGCTGCGCTCGGTGGCGCGGCTGACGCTGCTGCGGGGCGGGGCCGCCGTGGCCATCGGCACCCCGGGGCCGCTGGGGCTCGGCCGCCGCACGCTGACGGTGCCGCTGCGGGACGTGTCCGGCCGCGCCCACCGCAGCCAGGCCCGCACCGTGCCGCTCAAGGTGCGCGGCCGCCCGCTCTTCTTCCTCGTGGACACCGCGGGAACCCTGCGGGAACCGCGGCTCTTCGACGTCACCGCCTTTAAGTTCCGCTTCTAGGGACACCGGGGACACCGGGGGGACATCACCGGGACACCGGGACAGCTCCGGGAACCACGGCTGTTTGATGTCACCAGACATCAGTTCCGCTTCTAGGGACACCGGGACACCGGGGGGACATCACCGGGACACCGGGACAGCTCCGGGAGCCTTCTGCTTCTAGGGGACAGTGGGGACACCATGGGGACACCGGGACACCGGGGGGACATCACCGGGACAGCTCCGGGAGCCTTCCACTTGTGGGGACAGTCAGGGGACAGCGAGGGGACATCACCGGGACACCGGGACAGCTCCGGGAACGGCGGCTCTTCGATGTCACCGTGGGAGTATTCAGCTTCTAGGGACACCGGGGACATCACGGGGACATGGAGGGGACATGGCAGGGACACAGGAGCGGTGGCACCTGGTGTCACCTCCTGTCAGCCGCTGTCACCTGCAGTCACCTGATGTCACCTGGCATCACCTGCTGTCACCTGTGGTCGCCTCCTGACGCCCAGTGTCACCTGCGGTTACCCGGTGTCATGCGCTGTCACCTGATGTCACCCAGTGTCACCGGTGTCCCCTCCTGCCCCCACCGCAGCGCGGCCGTGGGGACAGTGCCGTTGTCACAAACTGTCCCAAATTGTCCCAAACTGTCACAATCTGTCCCAATCTGTCCCAACCTGTCCCCTGTCACCCCCAGAATAAAGCGTGGAGCCCCCCCCGGCTCTCTGAGGAAGGATTTTGGGGAGGGGGTCTCCCATGGATTGTCACCTGTGTCACTTTGTGTCACCCTCAGCGATCGGGGACAGCCCGGGGGGACCGAGGGGACCCCGCGCTGGGGGTGTCACCCCCAAACCCTGGGACCCCCCCGGGATCTGGGGGGGATTTGGGGGATCCCCACGGGGGACACCTGGATTGTCACCCCCTGTCACCCTCTGGGGACACCCCCGGCCCCGGGGGGGATTTGGGGTCCCAGCCCCCCCCCCC